AGACGTGTTAATTATGTGTCCACATTTTATGGACAAAGTTTTTATGTCATCATACATATTGTCGTTATGCAGAACAACGAATGGCATACATTAAATTTCAAATTACTCTTTCTACATACATTCAAAACTTATAATTTTGAATGTCATAATCAGCTTTAGGCATCAATTGTATAAGGATAATGTTCAGAAAGTAGAATAATTATTTAGCAGAAGTTTGCAGTCATTCTCGTCTTTGGCATACATAAATGTAATATATTCGGATATATATATAACCGGTCGTTGCCGCGTTACTTATTTGTGGTACGGAATGTTTATAATTTGAGTAATATTTATAATTATTACAAATAGAAACGAAACAACAAAAGTGGACCTAAAATGCTACCTTGTGGGACGAATTTTATACGCATCTATACTTAGACAGGCAACTGAACAATAGTTACGCATGAGCTCGCTTTCCAAAAAAGCATGCAAGGCCAACTTACTAAATGTCATCTTGAATTTTGGCGACCACAGCAGTGCGTTCTTGCACAATATAGCTTTGGGCACACGAGGCGAGACGTGAATTGAATTTACTGTTTCTATATGATATTGAATAGATAACAATTTACTCGCTATTACTTTGATGACAACGGATGATAATTTAATTTTTTTCTTCAAATAAGTTAATGATTTTGATTCACACGACGACGGTTGAATCGGGGATACTGAATTCCATCATATGGAAATGATTTATGCATTATTATTGTGTCTCTTTAGGTATGTAATAGTTCGGTGATCGGCGGTAAAGGCGATCGTCTTTTGGGGGTAAATTAGAAGATAAAAAATGATCGAAACTATTTTTTGCAACGGGCTTTAATGTAAAGATACCAAATATAAATGTATATTTTTTATATTTTATGATAAATAATTATGAAGTTATTTAAGAAAATAGATGATTTGGAATTACTCTGAAAATTTAAATAAGAAACCTTTGTAGGAAAACCTATTAAAAGTCTTAAGCTCTTAAAATGACCTAATAAAATAGTGTCGCACCCTCGATGAATGAGTCTAATTCGCTCTCGAACGATGTTTTTTTCATTTCCTATTTGTAAAAAATAGAAATAGTAAATATAAATAAAAGTAAATAGAAACTGTAAATCACAGTAACGTAATTAAAACTTGTACTCTAATTACATTTTTTTCATGTATACAGCCCTTATTTGATTTAAGTTAGTACCTACTTAGTTTAAATCTTAGATTATATAATGTCGTCAATACAGTTTTATGAGAATTTTAAAAATCTGTCCAGTAGTATTAGAGCCTATTCGATGCAATCTTTCCTGTTTACAATTTTAGAAAACAGTATGAGTTTCATATATAAAACAAAGTTATGGTACGCATAGGTGTTCACTCACGACTGGTCAAACCTTCGAGTTGTTACAACCGCCATTGGTAACGTAACTCTATGTAGTATGTACCGGAAAACGGAATTACTTACCTTACCACACATAGCTTCATATAGGGTTGCAAAAAGAGCCAATTTACTTTAAATATCAAAATGTGAATTGTTTTCAATAAAGTCGTTTTAATTAATAATTTTTCTACGATAATTTGTCGACTTATAACGACGTTTCACTGTGAATGAATCCAGTACGAAATTCAGAATAAAAGTAATAAAATTATTTGTATATGTACTTATGTTTATGTGTAGTATAATATTTATTTATGTTTATATAATTGTATACAAATTCTTCTAAAGTGTAGTTTAAGTAGTATATTTTTTAAGTTAACTTTATGCCGCCATCGTGTATTTCTGTATCCCTAAGGTTGACTGGTAGAGAATGCTAATAGCATTAAGTCCGCCTCTTGTACCAATTTAATGTACAATAAAGTTTGTTAAAAAAAAAATTAATATCTAACCTATTTTTTTCCTGTTTACACACGGAAGCTAATCATTATTAAAAAATTACCATATTTGTTGAAAGTAAATAATAGATTATTTGCAAATTTAGTATAAAATAGAAACGGTGCTTTTTCCTTTTTTTTAATTCCGCCGCATTTACAACCCTAATATCGTAAATACCGAAGGTTGCCACACCTCTCAAAATGTTCCACACTCTTATGTCCGGCTTACTAGTGCTCTTTGAGACTCGCAATTAGTTGCGGAAGACTTTATTACGCTTTGATATAAGTTTCAATGTCAAATACGTAAAATTGATCATTGAGGATGATGTGTTTAAAATAATGGAACATTCATTTTTCAAGTAATACCTACTACTATTTAATTTATTTTAAAATCGATAAACGAGTGAAAGTAGACTAGATTTCCGATATACTCGTATACCAATTAAATACTCAGTTGCATAAACGTTTATTAATATTGTCATTAGTTTAAAATTAATTAGAGAGTGCGATTGGATTTCTTAAATTACTGCAATAATGATGGTCCTACTTATTATTTATTACCTTCAATTAATGTCGGTATTATAACGGTTTGAATTTATGCTCTGAGTTCTTAACCAGCCAATTCATTGGTTAATTAAATAGAACTCGAATTATACCTTTTGAAAAAGGTGAACAGCTTAATTTTTAAGTAAGAATACAACCCACAATTGTTGTTATTTATCTGTGTAATTTATTATATTATTGGTGGCGTAACTAAAATCATATGTAAGATGAGTTTCATAATTATACGTATAATAATAATAGAAATAGGTATTAATTTGCAATGAACGCAAGGATATTGAACTCTGTTGGAGAGAGACGACAGATAACCTCAAATACAAAGGCATGACTGAGTGACGCTATTTTATGGACTGAAAAGTTTCAAAACTAAAAGGCAATATTGTATCGAGGGACTGATTCGAGTTTTTACCAGACTTTATCAAAGTGTAGAGGAAAGGAGATAAAAGCGTTGTAATAGAAAAATACAACATTGTTTAAAATCAATAAACATTTTGTCGTTTGAAACAGAAGATTAATAGTTTTTTCTTAAAACTACTAATTACACCTCTGATATGTGTACAAGATAAGTTTATTGACAACACATTCAACATTTGTGTTTAAATTATCTTTGTTCAACACGCTTAATTGATTTATAATAACAATTTGAAATTACTATTACAATTATAGCCTTTATCTGTCTCTTAAACTTCCGTGCATTAATATTTCCTTAATGTCAATTAAGTACAAATACTTACCTGCTTAATTTACTAGTTCTGTAGCATATTTACTGTTCTATGTTCGTGTATCGCCTGTTTTTACTAAACTAATTACCGTTCTTCTCTCTCCCTTAGAGAGAAACAAACCCTAAAAAATATGGAAAAAACCTTGGGACGCTCTGTTGGTTCAGTCAAATAGATAATATATTACTTTTCGCTATTTTTATCAATTCTATTTCCAGTCAACTTGTTTCGTCCTACCACCTTTATGCAGATGATTTGCAAATCTATTCCCAAGCACGACTAATCGAACTTCATCAACTAATTACTAATGTGAGTGATGATTTGAACTGATTTCTAATTGGAGTAAATTATGATTTACCCATAAACCATATGTGGTTTAATGCGATGATTAATAAAATCGACTGGACTCAACTACCATTGATCACATTTGACGGTATCACATTAACTCCTAGTAACTGTGTTAGGAATTTGGGTGTACTAATTGACAAAAATTTCACTGGGGATCTTCAAATCCAGGTAGTGAGCCGTAAGATGTTTGCTGCGGCTGGGTCCATAAGTAGACTGCGCAATTTCCTCCCCCTCGCCACAAAAACTGCGCTGGCATAAGCTCTCCTTCTCCCCATTTTAGATAACGCAGATGTTAGCAATCTTGACCTTACTGAGGAGCAACTTAACAAACTTGAGCGGTTACAAAACTTCCGTATCATATTTGTATTTGGTTTACGCAAATATGATCATGTATCAGATATTCGTGCAAAACTCAAGTGGCTCCCGATTCGTCTTCGCCGGAATGCACATATCGTTTCCCTTATTTACAGTATTTTGTTTAATCCACATTCGCCATCTTATCTTGAGGAACGTTTTAATTTCCTTCATAATACCCACACTCGAGTTTTGAGATCATCAGAGAACTTAAAATTGGAGACGCCAATGCATTTCGCTAAATTTCTTGACAAATCTTTTATAGTGCAAGCTGCAAGTCTCTGGAATGCATTGCCCGAAAATATAAGACGTGCGCAAACGGTAGATAGTTTCAAAAATCTAGTAACGGAGCACTATCTGTCTTTATGAACTTTTAAATTACATACCTATATATATTTTATAGTTATAGTATGTATGATAATTATGTATGTATGTTTATATCATATACACTTAAGACACCATAGACTACCTAATTTAAATTTAAATTTTCCAAACGGTAACGGTTGCCTGGAAGAAATTGCTTCTTAGTGATAAGGCCGCCGATTGTACTATTTGTTCTATATTATTGTTACCAAAGATTGGCGTTTATGTACAATAAAAAATTAATCTATCTAATCCGACCATTTTGGCCGCTTGTCACTGCGACGACCGACGTCCTCAAATGTTGTGTGAGGATGAAGTACAAAATTATTACAGTTAACTGTGATTATCCTGTGACTCTTATTTAGTTGTTTTGATAATTTTGACCACCAACGTTGAGGTTTTAATTCGATAGAAAGATATATCCAATCAAAATTGTTTATTTAGTCTAGGCTGTTACATAGCACTTGGGAACACGGAAATTGGTAAATAAGAAAGAATGTTTACAAGAATGATTGAAACAGTGACAGTAGTGCGAACTGGCAAAATCCCGCCCGAAACCTCTCCGAAAATCCCCTTAAAGTAGGATAAACTCGAGCAAACCCGGCCGGAATGCTTCTACAATTCTTACACGCTCCTCAAATATCCTATGAGCTTGTTCCATGCGGTCGAGTAAGAGAAAATACTCACTCGACGTCACACTTGGCGTTAAAGTAATTGAAATTATTCTATGTTCCAGACCCATGCATATACATTCTGCGCTTTGCATCACAGTTGCAGTTTGAGGATAAACAGCACGAGGTCAGCATGACAGCGTTGCGGCTAGTGCAGCGTATGAAGAGGGACTCCATACACTCCGGTCGCAGGCCATCCGGCATCTGCGGCGCTGGTATGTTTTTAATTTATTGGTTTATGTTAAAGGAAATATCTTTACTATGCTACTAAAACTTAAAGTTTATTATGTAATAATCATCTGCCGCGTCACGCCTTGTTAGTAAGTAGATCGAGCACAAGAATATCAGGTAAATGAGAGTGTCAAGGTTACGTACGATATATAACAGTGTACATAACTTTCTCACATTTAACTAAACTCGATGTCTTTTATCAAAATCTTGATTATGAAATATTGTAATAATTTATCCAGAAAGTAAGAGATCACCTAGTGAAGGAACACTATTATCTGTGGTCAGAGAGTCGTCAGACATTTTAGTGAAAGCATCATCTAATAGGACTTCTAAACGAGTGTAAAAATTCACGAGCTTAATATGTAACTCCATTTTAATAGTGTTAACTGTTGTTGGATACTCGTAATAAAATTATTAAAACATTCTTATGGTCAAGGGTAATGTAAACAAACAGATTTCATTTTCAGCTTTACTCATAGCGGCTCGCTTGCACAATTTCTCACGAACTCCTGGTGACGTGGTGCGCATAGTGAAAGTACACGAGTCCACCATCCGCAAACGTTTACTGGAGTTTGGCGAGACACCATCTAGCGCGCTCACACTTGACGAGTTTATGACTGTGGACTTGGAGGAGGAACAAGATCCACCCGCCTTCAGGGCCGCCAGGAAGAGAGACAAGGAGAGGCTACAGAAGGTAAAGTAAGATACCACTGATGTCGCTTATTGATGTACCTGCGCAGAAAGCTAAATTACGATGACCGGCAAACTTTAACTAATCGAAATTTTTCAGGTGTCGGGCTAGGTTCATCATTTATACAATCCGTTTATCTATAATGTTCCGATGATTATAAAATACATGTATTTATTACAGTTAATGGAAGAAGAAGACGGCGAGAAGGAACTGACGGACCTCCAGAAAGAGATAGACGCTCAGTTAGAGAAGGATAATTCAAGACGCAAGAAGGTGGGGACAGCAGCTAGCACTGTTATCGCCAAAATTTGCACTTCTGAAAAGTCTACAGGTGAATACGTAATATAATTACATATATTTAAAATTTTCGGTTAGAGACTATTGAAAATATACCATACATACTAAAAACAAAACATGCATGAATTATTATTTTTTTATTCAACATTAAATTTAGTTTAGTTAGGCAGGCATAATGTGTTGTTCATATTATTCTTCCACCATTTTTAACTCAATACCGATATTTATGATTTTTCAAATTAGTCTCGGTCCATAACAGTAGCCAAATTAAAAACGCTAATGAAAAATAAAATAAAAGAATGAAGATTAAACAAATTAACGACGTCGGTTTGTTAGGAATATTTATAGGTAGAGATACAGTATTATAAAAAAATACCCTCATCTGTTATTTGATTGTGACAAAGATTATAAGTTAGATGACGTGTAGATTAATATTAAGAACTGGGATGCCAGCTAAATCAGGGGACATCACTGTAAAATAATGTTTCGTGTATGTTGTTTATTTTTATCAATTCCTCTATCTGTTATTCTTGAAAATACGCCCAAAATAATCGAAAAAATATTTATCGTCAAATCTCTCGTTCTGTTTGTACCCAGCAGCCTTTTAGTTAGTCTAAAAATAAGTATATATTTTCTACTATTTTGGACATGTTCTGATGATAGGAATTGATTAGAAGAAATGATTAGTGAACATTATTTTACAGTGATGGCCCCTTATTTAACTAGGCAACCCTGTTCTAATCTACAGGTTTATTAACATATAAACCCTCTCACTTTCAAATAACAGATGAGGGAATATATTTTTAAATCGTATCTAAGAGTATTATGATGGTGCTCGTAAAGACAATTAAGGTTATGGCATTGATTGTGCGTGCATGAATAAATTTTCGTTTCATAATAACTGAAGTAAAGTTAAACAAAGAGAGGCCATACGTGACTCAACACTACATTAATTAATTCTTAGGTGATATGGAGCTAAGCCGAATTTACATTAGGAAATTATTCATGCATGATGAAACAAGTTTCACGAAACTTATTTCAGCACATGTGAAACTAGTTTCGTAATGGTATGAAATTAATAGTATCTATGAGACACTGACTCCACTCAAATCAACATCAAAGCTTCGTTGTGCGCAGATGGTGTCACGGTAGAATAACAATTCGCCATGTAAATCGTGCTGAAATCATTTGCCTGTCATTAGTTTCAACAAAAATATGCATGACACGGAATTACTCTAGTATCGTGAAACTAACTGGACGTTTACACGTGAACTTAATTTCATGCAACTTATTTCATAATGTTAATTCGGAATTAGCGTTTTTTGTTTTTTTAGTTGATTTTAATGAGAAGGAGTTTTGTTTTTTGTCAATATTCACCCTTTTAATTTAAAGGTTTGTCTTTTACGCTTATAATACTTCTCTTAGTTTTCCAAATAACTACGGATTTCGTAGTCAAGTATTTTTTTTTGTCAGAGGTAGAGGTAAGGCTTCCTTTTTAACAGACTTCGAAAAAGGAGATTCTAAATTTTAAAGTTTTTTTTTTGTTTATATGTTATATATCTCACAAGTTTTTACTGGGTGTACCGATTTTGATGATTCACGGAACAAAACTATGTACTGATTGTTTTTATCAGTGGCGTAGCGTTTCTTAGCGGGGCCCCGTATAAAATTTTTTTGGGGGGCCTTATGTAGGGTAAAGACTGTATAAATTGTACGAATTTTAATCATATATACATCGATTATTATGGGATTCTCCCGTTAAAGTTTGACTTAAACGGAGATATCCCGCAGCCCGCGAAATCGGTTTTTAGGGTGTTGCCAACTTTGAAATTCACGCTCTACGTGGGAAAAAGAAATTGCTTTTTTGACTTTTGTAATTTTTGAAATAAGAAGAAATTTGGGAAGTTTTTATTATTTTTTTCTTACGCACGTTGGGGGCCCCAGTGTCCCGGGGGCCCCGTATAATTGATACGGCATATACTGCGGTAGCTACGCCTCTGGGTTTTATATCAAAAGAACCGAAATAACCACTCTTATAGAGACGATGTAGTTTATCAATTATGCATTTCACGCAAACATTTATTTCGATGACCATGATCTTTATGAGGAAAGGATTGGATGAGTAGTTTCTTTGTAAAGATATCGGTTATTAAATTATCGGCAGGCAGTAGGCAAAAAAAATATCTATATTAAAAGCTTTTTCTTTTTCAAAACATTTAATGTTTCAAAATACCGATAATATATTAATACTAACTAATTATAATATATTAATAATACCGATAAGGTAATAACCGACTTCAAAATACAGTAAATTCTTGAATGATAAAAAACTATTAAAAATTTTCTTAAACTATATTTGATGTCGACCGGATAAAAGTACATTTAACATATGCTCGTCTGAATTCAAATCTTCATCTTTAGGATTTCTTACTGACGGGGTAAATACGGGAATCTTTTACTAAGACTCCACTGTTCGTCTGTCACCAGACCTTCTATATCTCATGAACCTTCATAACTAGACAGTGGAAATTTTCACAGATGATATATTTCTGTAGCTGTACTAGAAACAGAATAAAATAAATATTTAAGGGGTCCATACAACAATGAATTATTTGCATATTTTATTGATAACCTCTTTGGTGTCCAAGGAAGATCTGCGTCGAGGTCTCTTGATAAAGTCTAGACTCTATGCTGAATGCATCCCGTTTTAGTGACACTGTGGGTTTATATATTCATTCTTCTTGTTATTTGTACTATGTGAGCTAAATAAATAAATGGATAATCATTATTATATACGGAACTTTCATGTGCTTACCGACTCGCGTTTGGTTGGATTTTCATTTGCGTTTGTGTAACTGTTACTGTGCGATAATAGTAGATTAGTAGCCAAGGGCTAACTACTCTGCTTTACATCTCGATTGTCACGTAAGTAGAAAAAACCGGCATTACAAAAATAAAATATTTTATTAGTTAAAATATCTCTCTTTAGAAGTTTCAGGCAAAATATTGTCAATTGCTGCTTCAGCTTCCATTTTCATTGAATGGGAGTGCAGCTTATATCTTCATCACTTGAAGAACTCATGTTTTTTCCTAATTAGCACGTGATTATATAAAAATCCCAAAAACAAACAATATTTAAAGTAACATTTTCTATTCTCGCGTTTGTTTTATTATAAAGAACGAAGTAAAGAACTTTACTCGACTGCGCGACGCAAAGGAGGGTAATGTGTTTATCAGTCTATGTATGTATGTTTGTTTCTTTGTGGCGTTCTAGAGACCAAATGCATAGGCCGATTTTGATGATTCTTACGTCAATCGATTCGTCTTCACCAGTGACAACCAGATGCCATATTGTCAAAATGAAAAAAAAAAAAATAGATGAACTATCCCAAGTGGGGTGTCGTTGAATAGGTATTTTAAAATCACCTTTAGGTTCCTTTTATCATTTTTCATTTTAAATAATAGTTTAGGATATATAACGATTTAAGGTTGTTTAACAAAACAATCTTTCTCACTAATTTTCTTACTTATTGATTTAAGTTTTTATTTAAAGTACAAACGATATACACACAAAAAAAATAGTGAAAAAGCATGAAGAACAAATATATTTGGTAAAAAAAAATAATCCAAGAAAGTAATTGAGCTTCGCCGTTCGATATTTAAAATTGATGACTATTATACATATTATGATGATTAGATGTACTCTTTGAAAGAGTAACTTATGTTTTTTTAATTACTACAGTTCTAGGGATTTTCTAGTTACATTAATACCTTAGAGCGCTTATTGGTCACCTATAAGCCCCATTTTAGCCCCAAATAAGGACCTACTTATCGAATATGAGAGATGTAAAATATATTAATTAATTCGAGCATTTCCAGATGAATTGGAGGGTCAGAGTGAAGAGATGGAAGCGTCACGGTTCGCTGCAGAGGACACGCTCGCGTTACTGGGGGAGATCGCGAGTGAGACTCATGAGCAACCTCAACACGTACACAAACAGAACATAGAGAAGGGATTGGGTAAGCTGTTTAAACACTCGATCAATCCCTAAAATTAGTATACAGAGTGTACCATTAAGAAAAATATCTTAATTAAGAAGAAGTATTCATCATCTAAAAGTATCGTTCACCACGTATGTAGGGTATTATATTAAGAATGAGCAATATGGAAAAGAGTGAAACTATAAGATATATGAAGATCACCACTAATGTTCTTAGGAATCACGTCATCGATTTAAGTGACAAGAAAAACAGCATCCATATTTATAAAAATCTTCTAGTTCTCAGGAAATCGAATCCGGACATTTTGAAAGATAAAGCTTACATTATTTTTACATAGATAGCGATTGTTTAGGTTTAAGTCTTAATCAAACTATGAAACAAGCAACAATAGAGAAAATATTACGCAACTAAATAAATTGAATGTATTGAAAGAAAAGTTGTAATTTGAAACACCTACTGAAATAAAGGGTATGAAAACCAAATCATTTAATGCTAGGAAAAATCTATAGTTTTTTATATAAAGTATTTTGACTTTGGGGTTCTGAGGTATCAGAGGTGCGATCGCCTAACTCTCTGAAAGTTAATAAACCAAACAAAAAGACATGTCGATGTAGCAAAATTAAACGAAACATCGACATAATTTCGCTAAGATGTATCCTATAGCTAGAGAGTTAGGCGGTCACTCCCCAGTTTATTTTGGAAATAAGAGTCTTGCCCAAAATAGTTTGAAATAGTTAATTGTCTGAACTATTATAATTTTGTTGGGTGACTTTTTGCCATCTTATCAAGATCCCCATAAAACTCTTTTTTTTTCCTGAATAGCTAAAGATAATGATAACTGTGGTCTAACGTTATCTTGATGAATATGACATCCTCATCAGATCTACTGAATGACACAGATCTACTCATGAACCGTGCCGTGATAGTTAGACAGTTTTACATAAATAATACGATTCTTACTTGGCCGATGTTTATTGATAAGTAACTTCTTGCTTTGATGGCATTAGGTATGCAAAAGCTAAATGCCATTCCAAATTCAATGCCCCATACCATACACATAGCTTACCTTAAGCGAATCACCCCAGGGGAGCGACGGCCTAGCACTCTCACTATAATTCTAGCCATAACTATGTTCAATGCAGAATGAACACAAATTCCTTTGCATACCAAAAAATAAAATTTGAAAAGTTTTGCCGTTTTGGCGGTCTTTTTGAACTTCTTGGATTTGAGACGCGTGTGGGCTATAGCCGTAAATATGAAATAAATTTTTCCTAAGTAGTCTTTACGGCTAAATATTACTTAATTATAAATAAACAAATTAATGTAACAAATGTGTGTTAAAAATACTTTTTATCGTTTGTTGAAAAGTGCGGTGTTTTTATTTAATAATAAAAACCGAAGAAAAGAAACGACCTATGGATTAAAAATACTTTTCATTGATTTTATCACCGAATATGTTTATATTTTTTTATAATATACTTGTTTAATGATTTAAATTTTTAACCAATGATTGTAGTTTTAACAAACTACGAATTTAAAAACATTATTATATTTGATAAATTTTGCATTCACGATGCTATTATGAAACATGAATGAATGAATATGACATCACATATATTACTCAGGTTCCAAGATGAGTAGCTAAAGCCCTCGGATTATGGAGTATCTGAGACAACGAAGGTATCACAACACCCAGACCAGAGACAATATAGAAAAGTTAATTTTCTACATTGACCCGACCGTTAATCGAACCTGAGACCTCAGACATGGCAACACTGATAATATAATAATTAATTCAAAATTTAATTTATTAAATTCTCACTGTTTAGGTCCAGAGTTGGCCGTGCTAGGTCTAGGAGTGGGTACCAGTAGTAGTGCAGGCGGTGGTGGTAGTGGCACCGGGAAATGGTGTAAAGACCTAGGCAGCGAGGAACTGTGGCTGACACCGCCCGAGGAGGAATACATATCCACACTTATCATGAGCGAGGAGGAGGCTAAACACAAGACGATTCTGTGGAACAAGATCAACGCGAGGTTCCTCCACGAACAGACAAGTACATCTCCCCTCTCTCTCTCTTTCTAGTTTGTATCTTTTTGTGTCTCTTTTGTAACATACAAACAATCAAATCTTTCCTCTTTATAATATTAGTATAGTAACAAAAACTGTCTAGTTCTATCGATCATCTTCGGAAACAAACTTAGCCGATGCCCATTATTAATATAGTAGTATTGTATTTGTAAAAGATGTAAAAATGAAAAACGACTATTTGATCCAGAGCACACGGAAAGCTGTCGTTGCGGTCGCGGTGTAGAAGCTACTGGCATAAAGGCGGGACGTATGAGCGCCATGTGTGTACCGCAATCGACAGCCACCCGCATTAACTTTATTATAAAAATCAAAGGCAGAGGGTATACAAATGGATACATAAATTATTATCTATAACATATAGGTAACTTAAAAATAGTTAACGTAAAACTAAGACAAATTACATAATTTAATGAGTGTGTATGCGTCGCCTACAGTATTATTTAGAGCCGGCCCATGCATATAGGCAAACTAGGCAACTGCCTAGGGCGCTAGTATGGCAAACAGGGACCTAATGGTGTAATTTTAAAATCTATTGCAATAACTTTCAGTTTGAGTTCTGAAAGATGTACACGAACTTCACGCTACAACTTTGAAAAATGATAGCGAATGCGATCGTGACGTTGTTTTAAAAGATATTGAATAAACGATATCATTAATTTCAGGTTAATTGAAATAGGCATGATGACTGGGTAAAAAAAATGCAATTCTATTTAGTCCGTCAATCGGATAATAGAAAAATATTAGATACTTTTTTTTTTTTTTTACTTCAATTTAACAAGAAATAGTATAGATAACAGGCATTAAAGTTGAGGAGTGGGGGCTCGCTACGTCACAATTGAGTAGAAAACGTACTCTAACGTGACGTCATGCGAAATTTCAACTCAATGTAACGCCGTAATTTTAAGATTACGAAAAAAATAAAAAAATACGTGTTTAATATTTTTTAACACTCTACCTGACGGACAAACAAACAAAAATTTGTCATCATCCCTATTGTCCAAGGCAAGCGTTAGATGCAAATATTAAGTTACTAAGTTATTATTATGTTTTTTTGGTGATTCAAATCACCATTTCCAATGGACGCGATTGCGACTGTAAACATTACATAATTCCAATAGCAGTTACGCTATCATAAGCGCTATACCATCTTATTTATATGAAGCTTAAAAATGCAGTACCTAAAAAAAATATTTGTAATTATTTCCATGTCCGCGGTATTCCTAAGTACAATTTTTTTTTCGGAACAGCAGTACCTAAGGAGTTTCTTTTGTCATCGGCAAAATTATACTCTTTGATCGATGTAACTAAATAATGTGTTTTTTTTATGGGCGTCATTCCAGTGCTTTGCCTATGGCGCTACAATAGGGGTGTAGACGACTGTCTTAAATATTCTTATTTTATAGATATACATGAAATATATCTAAAAAAATCATATAATAAGTTAAAATCTAGAAATAAATTAAATTTTCAAAATTTCCCGTGAAAACGCCATCTTCTGTCATGGCGTCGCAAACGAACGTATAATTATATTACCCCTTTAAAACTAACATCGTTGTTGGTTGCATAAGGTTTAATTCTCTAAGTTCTAATATGAGTAGAGGGGCATGACGTCACGCTCTATTTGCGGTCACGTGGAACGAGTTAAAATGTTTGCTATTTCATAATTAATTTGAGAAATATTATAATGACCATAAAAGTGTGATTATCGCTAATAGTATATTAAACATTTCCTAAAAATGAATTCATTTTCGTTTACTGTCTACATCCGTATTAAGGCGTCAAGATTCATTGATCTGGCTTTGGTATTATTTATATCTAAAATCGTATCGACGGTTTTGGCGACACTAGTAATGTCAGCATGTCCACAGTAAAGGAGGAGTTGCGTGCTAAAGAGCGTCTTGAAGGTAAAAAGAAGAAAGTTCGCGGCGCTTACAAGAAGAAAGTAGCATTGAGCGCTGCCACCGCTGGTGAGGCTATCGGAAAAATGCTGCAAGAGAAGAAGATCAGCTCCAAGATTAACTATGATATACTGCGGTCACTGGATGCTCATACTCAAGACGGTGACACGAAGCAACCAGATACACAAGCACAGTATGTATCATCTATATAATCAAATAATATACTAGCTGATTTCCCATGATTTTCTGCGTTAATTATGACTTAATTATGTTACCCGCGTATGATGCAGCTTCTTGTAGGTGAAAGAATTTTCATTATATATGAAACGGAGTCTAAAATCGTTTAAGTTACAACATTTAGAAGTCAGTAAAGATTTTTATGATTTCTTATTTGTTGTTTTTGTTATCCATTTTTTAGAACTTTTGAATAACTAAAGCTGTAACGTTCACTTGGTTAGAAGTAGAGATTGGATGCTTTTCGTATTATAAAAAATATTGACTTTTATGATTTTTTTTTTCACATAGCATAGGTATGGAATTTGATGTTTTTATTAATATGGAAACAAAAACTCGTTATTATTAATCGATTCTTATAGAGATAATCGATTTTGAGGTAAACAGGATTCGAGGAAAATTTATTCATCAACATGATGAATGAGTCAGAAAATATACAAAAGTTTATTATAGTTAAATATAAACTTTTAAACTTTCCGCGTTGCATTATATTACATTGTATGAAACGGGTATTAACGCGCAAGATTAATAGTTAGGTTTTTCACCTACCCATATTCGTTGCTACAATTATAATTAAAAAATTATCATTTGATTAACGAATACATATTTTAATTAAAAAAAAATTTATTAATCCAATCCTTATTAAAAAACGTGTAAATTTTCGTTACAAGTATTGATGTTTTAAACTTTGGAGGGGAGGGTTATATTCACAGCCAAATATTTTTTAAAACGATATTTTTTAATTATTCGGAAATACAAATTTCATGAAATGGATTTGTTAACAAACGATACCTTGTACCTATACTATGTGAAACGGATTATAATAAGGTTATTTAGGCCAGAATTGGTATTTGTTGATAAGGTGGTTTTTCCATCGTCGAAAATCACTTACAATGAAAGGATGAAATATGTACAAATTTAGTTCTCACTGATTGTAACATAGGCCAGTAATCCAGCAGTAAACATTTGATTGAATCCATAGAGGAAGTCTATGCTTCAACTGTCGGTAAATTAATAGGCTAATGATGATGATTTGTTTTTTTTTATCAGATCGACGCTTCCATCTCCGGCGAGAGAGACTGTAAGCGAATCTCCCACGCCCCGTAAACGCAAGAGGAAGGAACCTGTGCTCCGCACGTTGCCACCACCACCGCCCACTAATACCACCACCACACCGATAGCTCCAGCCACGCCACGACCTGCCACGCCACAACCTGTTACGCCACAGCCCGCTACGCCATCAATAGCAGGTAATTTGGCACACTCAACGTAAATTCTGTTACATTATTACTTTGTGGTAAGCATAACGGATCTTTCGTGAGATATGCAATGAATTAATTTATATTATTAATGATTAAATTAATATGTAGCGGTAAACTTTATTCTACATTATAGACGGTGTTTTAATCCATTTTATTGATATATTTAAAAAAGTATATTATTAAAATTTAGGTTTCTGTTAAAAAAATAAAAAAATATTAGCATATCGATAGAAAATAAATGACCAAAATTACTCAAATCTCGAGTTAAATAATAAAATGACATTCCACAGATGCGAGTGAAGATTACGAAGATGAATTAGAGCCGCAAGTTCCGGAGAGGGAGACACTCTCACTCGCCGCCATGTTACAAAACGGACAGGACGACGACTATTACGACTACGATGAGTATTAGTGGATCGAACACAAAGCCCATACTAGCCGTTCGTTTCGATTTGTACCCTCCTTCTTCCTCCCCTCTCGTTTCACGGCAACGTACGTTCAGCCAGGCTCGGATTTACGTAAGGCGAACTGCCTAACGAAGCCCCCACGCGACATGAGGCCGACGATTCTATATTACCATATTTTTGCAACCTAATAATGTCCATGAAAAGATTTGTGAAGCTCGTTCTTTTTTAACTGTAGTAGGTATTATATAAAATTGATTTTGGCCCCCATGACACTGGCTCCTGGGCAAGTGCCCTCACTTACCCCTTCCCCTAGATCCGGGTCTCAGTCCGTCTTTTTGAATAGAATATCATTATAATAAATAAAAATAGAATATTTATTTACTCACAATTTTAAGACGACTAAAAATAATATTATTATTTTTCTTTGCTGACGATACCTGATTTGCCTATGACGTGATTTAGTAAAGGTAGTCGGTTAAGTCGAAGTGAACGACTAGTATATTAGTAGAAGATGATATCAAAAAAAATGTAAACTACACAACAACAAGAACCATGTGTGTGTAAAAGAATAGCAGCTGATGACGGTGAATTCATAGTTTGCTAGTTGTATAAGATTGTAGTCTAGATGTAATAAATTAATCTTGCAGCACTATTATTATACACTAAGATGTTAATTGTATCACTGGTTATAACTTTGTGATATTTATAATGAAATATAACCGAAATAGTTTAATTACGTAATCACAAAAATTTAAAGTTAAAAAGAAAACGTTGTTAAGCAAAAGAATTTTGCTTCATACTGCCATTAAAAATCGCGTAACCTGTAGTTGTCAGTTGGCAATGAACTCGTTACATTCTTTCCAGCCTCCGTATAGGTGTTAGGCTCGCTCTTGCGTGCATTATTGTGCCAAACACATTGTATTCAAATTCTAGCACTAGATCAGACTAAGAACTGACGTGACCATAAAAAACTGTTTTTTTTTTTTATAATAAATAAATATACCCAAATTCGTAGTTTAACCTCTATTTATTTTAAAAATAATACATAATTGTTTATGTTTTTCAATTTTATTTTTAAAGTAACAAAAAAAAGAATGCTTTTCCACTTTGACGAATTCAACAAAAGGCTTACAAATAAAATCAGTAAAGTATTATAATTTATTAAAATAAATTTTATTTCAGCATTTCTTTAATTCTAAGAAAAATATATTGATCTCTCTTGTATTATTATGGCCTCTTTTTATTGAATTTGTTAGTTTTGTTAATAGTTAACTGTGTAGATATAGCAATATGAACTACTATTCATTAGAAAATGTTGGTTTTACATGGATGAGCCTGAGCCATTAGGTTTTAATATGTATAGTTAGTTAATAATCGTTTTTATGATAGGTAAGAATTGCTATTGGTGTGGTAATTATCGTGTTCATGGTACCCCCGTTTACCGCTTTTATTATATTTAAGTATTGTAAAATCTCGAATTCAGGTATTCCATATTAAAATCCACGTTTTGACCTCATAAGTGACAATTTTAAATAAGTTATCGCAGTTATAAGAAAATTAATTGTATTTTATAAATGATAGAGGAAAGTAAAATTTTAACTTTTAGTTTGTTCCGTCCTTATTTTAATTTATACTTACAAACAAAGAAAAACTTTTAAATTAATCTATTTCTATTCCATAAATAATAACTTTCGCTCATATGGTCAACAAATAATATAAATTAAGAACCTGGGCCTCAAGTCTGCTATTTGCGTAATAATTGCATATCAATTAAATCACAACTATTTGCATTTCACCATTATACTATCTACCTGAAGTTCAATATTATTAGTGCAGTCTTTCATAAAAATCAATATGGGATCGGACAGCAATTAAATTAAAAATATATATATATATGGTTAAAAAGTTTAAAGATTATTCGCCGAATATTTTTGTTAAATAACAATTATTTATATTTTTAAATCAATAAACAAAAATATAATTTAGTTACATTTGTAATCTGTGCCTCACGCCAAATAAAACACCAATCGGAGAGCGTGACCTCATAGTTGGGTAAATTGGTAGTAAAATATTAAGGAAAATCGTGGAAAACATTTAAAATGCAAAGTAATCTTGAATGATTTATTTTTAAAGGGTTACGAGGGTCAGTTTACTTTATTTTTGACTCTAAATATATTGGAGACGATAATTCATCTTTTTCACTGAAAATCCTTTTGTTTACCCCACAAATGACGTCACGTCCTCCGAGTCGTCGTTTAAACGGTTTTTTTTAACAGTTACATTTCAAACATAATTTTGGGTACTTAGTGAGACTTATTTACACAAAATAATATTTTTTGTGGGAATAAGTGGCAGTAATTGTTAATTTAAATAATTTTTTCGAAAGTTGTCCGATCTCCTATTGTAACAGAAATATTTATTATTTTATAAACTAGTAACAAGAACTGTGTTAGAAAGGATTGTAGTTGAGCCGCTATTGACTATCTATAATTACGCTGCCATTAGCAGAATTGTCCTACTGATCAAAATCATTGATTGATTCGAATATGTTATCACACTGCTGACGCTGACTGTTGTAAGAAGGATCTTCAACTATTAGATATAAGAGTTTATTGTGTACTTTATTATACTAAGCTTATTTATTAATAGCTATTTTTTTTTACGTAGAATTTATTAGCGAAATATATTTACTCACTGCAGCGCATCAAGTTACCATGTAAGTGAAGTATTCGCAATCGAGTTTGAATTTAATATCAAACAAAATAAGGTTTAATATAAAATTGATGGTATCGATAGTCTGATACAGTGTGTTAGTCGACATTACTACAAATGTGTAACATAACTTTGAACATATGAAAATATGAGGATAATTTACATGTATATAAAGGAATATGTAAGTAAAAAATAAAAATGTTTGTTAATACAAGTTTTTTTTAATAAGTAAAATAATTAATCATGATATTCATTACCCAGAACATAGCTCAGAGTAACAACTGAATAGATTAGACTGACTGAAAGATACTCCGAGCTACTAATGGAATAGGGAATATTGATTTTCTTATCTATATTAGGGACTAAAGACAGAAAGTGCCCACGCTCCATCCCCAGTTCCCCATCACATTATTTTATATGCAAATAATAACTAATTTACTTGACTGATATAAAATAATTGTAGATTATTACACAATCTTAATGTAAGTTCCCTGTATTTTCCTATATTATGTACGATCTAATTAGGCCTGAAGCATATACCCCATTATAAAAATTCTGATAGATGTTTGTAGTACCTATATGAATAATGAAATGGGGATTGAATCCATATTACTATTGTTCCAAAGTTTCTATATATTTGGATAGAATTCTGTATTCAACAGGAATATTCAAAAACTCCTTGATACTTTTCTATTAAACTAATAATTATACCAAGTTTTACATTACTTACAACCGAAGTGAGCCAGAATTGTTCTTTATTTTCATTTTTTCAAACAGGGTTTTGTAACATCTATTTTTTACTAAGTGATCACTAATGATTCACTCTTAATTTTATCATCATAATTATATCGAACGACAATGACGATGATAAATAAACATTTTCAAACGAGTCTCAACTTGCATTTCTAAACCCGCAATAGGACAAACACTGAAATGTGTTCAAAGTTGGAGTGCGGAATTATGCATCTTATCGTTATAAGTTAAGAGTCTAAAATTCTCGAGTACGATTACAAATGTCATTTTTTTGCCTAGTGTTGTTCACTGATACGAACTTTTAAATATGAAATAATTTCTCTATTATAATAATAGTTCATTTTCTGTCATTGAAATATGTTAATTATTTATTTCATAATCTAGCTATCGCAATGTTTATATTATATTAAAAACGTATGACTAACAACAAATTGTATTTGTTTAATAAATAAAATAAAGTAAGAAAATAAATCGATGACATTTTATATAAAATTAACTTTCCTAAACACTTTAAAAAGTATTTGAAGATAATTTATAGATTTTTTACAAAAAATAATTAGGTACCTATATTTTTATTGGCTATCATTCCAAATTTCTGACCCAATTTGTATTTATTATAAAATTTCCATGACATTCTGAGTCATTGGAATGTACGGATTCAATCAGCGTGACTCAACCTGGCGAAGAACTGTTAACTGCTATGATAATGTCGCATCACTACAGCAAGCTGACTTGTCTGTACATGATACCGCGGACTATGCTCCTTATGCCGCGAAATACCGTGATTGTTTATAAAACGGGGTACGCGCAACGCGTAGTATTTATTCTAGTCAAAAATCTTATTTATGTGATAATTAAGTATTAAAATATTATTATACATCCTTTTAACGACTCAAATGTAAGAAAAATAATATATAAACTATATTTAATTATGGGTTTCAAATGCGCGTCTCAAGAACGTAGAACAAGAAGATGCACTCAGAAACGTCTTATAGCTAAAATAAATAATGAGAAAAAGGCTTTAAGAAATATCTATCGTAAGATCTGTTTAGCCAATTTTGGATTCTTCATGGCATCAACGGGGTTGACCAGGAAACGGTAAGAATTTTTATTTATTTATTATTCGAGGATCATCAGCCAGTGTGATTAGTCAGAGCATGGGCACAAAGCAGTTTTAAGTTATTGTCAATTAATTAGTTGTGTGACGCAATCGATTTGTCGAAATTGGTGTGGGATTGAGTAATATTACATTTATATTTAATTTTAAAAATCTCTGCATTATACTTATGTCATACGTATACTATGAATAGAAACTTGGAGCTTTAATTAAACCAGCATTTAGGTCTGAATGAATTAAATGTTATTTTAGTAAGCATTATGTGCGCTCCTTGACTCGAGTCTCCTCCCTTTTCGTCGGCTAAAATTATCAAAATAAAAATATTTCAAATTTACCGCTAAATGCCTGTTAATTGTTCTTGTATGGCAGCCCTGTTCTCATAGTGATGTTAACAATGTTTTGAATACCGATTATTTTTTCAGCAATCATTCTAGTTGATTAACGACTAATGAAGAGTAATTTAGATAAGGCTATACCGATGTACTAGTTAAAGTCACAATTATTTCAGGAACATACAAATTATTTGACAAATTTTATTTTCATTTTTTTAAAACCTTATTTTAAATGCTCTGTGATTATAAAAACATCATTTACCTTTATTTTAAAATCCGCCAGAGCGAAGTATTTTAATAACATGTTAATTTCGCTATAAATAAATTTCAAGCAACATAAATGGTTTGACCGACATCAACCTCTCATCTGTTGGCCTCCATGTTGGCATACTTATTATTAACAAAAACTTTACTTGTTTAGGTTAATGATTTCATTATGGAGTTGAGTGACTTTGAATGTTATTATTTCGGCTCAAAATCAATAAAAATATAATTATTATGTGAACTGAACTAAGCTATTTTGGTAAATTGTTTGGTTTAAAATCTATCTATCTATCTCTTATTATTCTATTTACTTAAAAAAGTAACTGCTCAATTTAATCTTAGTTTAAACTAATCGGGTATAGTTAAATACTGATGTGAAAAAAATGTTCTTAAAGTGATTACGTTTTTTTCACATATTGCATAAAAAGTGCAAAAATTCGGTTACATATGTGTTGTGGTGTTTAATAAGCGGTGATATCGTTTTCCATTAAATCTTCAGGTTTTTATTTAGGTTTTTATGAATCTGTTTGATTACATTACATTAAAGAATCAAAATTATACTGTCAGATATATCATCAAAGCACACACATGCACAAAATATTTTAATATAACTTTTGTATCTGCAAACCTTACTTTTAAATAATTTGTGATTACGAAAACTGACAAAACGAACGACGAAAAGGCACAGAGAAACTAATTTTATTCGGATTCCTGTGTCGTTTACAAGAATTTTTAGGATCCCGTTTTGATAGCTCTGTTTGAAGATGCACTAGAATTTCAAAAAAGATCATTGCTCCATTTCCTTATTAACAAAAAAATAGATAACAATACAATGCTTTCTTAATCATTGAATCAAGTCTGGCTAGCCACCAAACTTTAAAGTTAAATTAAAAATGTTTGCTTATATATATGCTCTCGCCACACTTCGCGTCTTGTTAGGTATTTGCGTATTTCAGCACATGTCTAGCACAGGTTCTATGTAATCTAATGGACACATTTATATTAGAGAACCGTAAATTTGGTTGGTGCAGTTCAAAGCTGGTTTAATGCATGCCAATAGAAATAACGTCTCTACGTAATATAGTGATTACTGAAATAATTATTATTAATATTGTTTTAAAAATTATCTAGCTATTTATCAGATATTTAAATAAGCCAGTTTGAATACTTTATAAATCATGACATTTTTATATCGTTAATCGGTAGAATCGGTTAAGGAATCGGTTCACAAATCGAATATCAACTCCGTTTTAGCGTTCACCTCTAACGCAGAAAACATCTTTAGTTTATAGTTAGTGTTTTTGAGATTTGTGTCTGCTTAGCGTTAATTTTTATTGCGTTGTATTTACACTGTTTTGTGTTCATTGTTAAAGTGATTATTGTGATTTATTTGTAAAGGCAAACAATCCTTTACATGTTTCCAAAGGCGAAGTGCGAAATTGAGGTTGGTGCAATAATGAGGCGCAGTGATTTTATCGCTCTTTAGCGATGTGTGTTTTTTATAAATTGAATTGAAGGTGTTTTAATAAAATTCATGGTGTTTCAAATAATACTAGTGTCATTTGTAAAGCATAGTTCGAATCATAGGGTCCACAAACGAGCAGACGGATTCTATCATGGTCGTAAAACGGTAAGTGTCTGCTATGTTTTTTTTTACATAAAGCAATTGTGACCTCAAGTTACACTATATCTTTGTGTTTTCGTTAGTATCAACAGTCTACGTCTTACAGATTTTGTGACTTTTGCGATAAAAATTCGAGTTGAGAATATATGTCCTAGTTTTATAAAACTGTTTTGTTTGTTTACATTTGGGGTGAGCTAGGTAGATTTTTTAGTTCATCATCTCATTATTTACTCACTTCTGTAATTAGTGCCTATAATAAATAGCTCATTATTTAGTAACAACAGGTAAACTTACAGGTTTTAATCTTAGATTGGATTCTAACTCTTCAATTGACATTGGTTAGCTGTAGTTTGAATGCATATGTAACTATCATAAAGTATGTCCTCTTAAATTGGGGCTATAGACAAATGGGAAAACACAAAATCAACAATCTTGTTTTTAAAACTGAGATAGACGATGATATTTTGCATGAATTAGAATTTCCAAAACAATTTTAGTTAATTACTCATAAACCATTACTTTCTATAAAAGTACTCAATTCAACCCCTTAGCTATAGAATGATTCATATATTTATCATTTTTCTCTGTTACAAATATAAGAGTAAATGAACTATATTATGAATATTGTCTATTCTATATTCTAATTTGATTAAAATTTACAAAATTAAAAATTTGTGAATTTATATTTTGACCAGTACGGTTTTATCAGTTTGTAAGACAAATAAAAAATATCAGAAAACATCACATCAGTGCTCAGAACCCATTTGGGAACAAAGGTCAACACTTAAACCTGAGACATACAAAAATCATTTTCTACATGGACCTAATATTCTTTGTTCAAAAAAAAAATTAAAGAATGATTTTGTGATTAAGGTGCCCTCCTAATTTCCTTACTTTCTTACTTTCCTTTCTTCAAGAATAAAATATTTATTTACTTATAAGGACTATATATTACTTTTTATTTATTTTTTAGATATTATCAGTTAGATATTTTATATCTCAATGTTCTTTGAATAAGGCTGAAGCCTAATTGTCTCATTTCAAAATTTGGCAATTGAAAGATATTCAAAAACTTTATACCATTTGACATGTGATAGTGATTGTATCATTTTTTTATGATATCAAATGAACCATGAATGAATGATATTGCTAATTTAACATTGATTGGCATTGTATAAGCCAATCATAAGATGTACTATTACTTTAAGTTAGTAAATGTTTATTGTATCTCATGATCATGCTAGTACACTGACGGACTATGAAAAGGAGTATAATATGCATCAGGAAACAAGATAAAATAAGAAACTCCGTTATAAGAACAAAGACAGGAGTAATGGACCTTCTGACAAAAATTGACCAATTAAAGTGGAGGTGGACAGACCATATATTATAAGAAGTACCCAAGAAAGGAGCAGTAGGATTGTAACTAAGTGGCATCCTAGAGATGGTAAAAGAAGTAGAGGATGATAAAGAAGGGAAGACAAGCTTAAATTAACCGCAGGACTTAATTGAAGAAGAGTTGCAAGAGATAGAAACCAATGGAGAATGAGGCTAGAGGAGGCCTATGCTAAGATGCACACTAAAATCAGATTTATCATAAACTACTTAATTATGTAAACCAAAATCAAATGTTCAAAATAAATGGCTTATTATTATGATAATTTCTATGATAATTAAAATAATTTATGAAATGCAATAGTACAAAACTTTGCCTTTATTCACATAATGCAGTCTGGGTCCTAACTCTGTCCCACATGCAATCAACAAATGCTCTTCCCAGTGCACAAAAGTTTCAATATGGATCTCTTGTGCTAATTTATATATTACCCGACAGAGCCGATTTGTGCTATGGAAACTAAGTAACAAATTGCAGAAGTATTTATAAACCAATATCCTGGGTTGCCAGACATTACTTATTTTCTGATGGACTTATTCCTCCTTCTTCTCTTATTCTGGTGGGCGGATTGTTTCCTCAACTCAACACCAGATGTCAATTTTTGCATACAATGGTACTTTAATCCTGCTATCCCAGTTCCCTCGAGAATTTATACAGTCTTTTGATGTCTTCCAGATCTCCAGTCTGTACTGTGGGCTGTCCAGCTATTTGGTCCATCTTCTTACCATGCTTTTAAGTACTTCCTCCAGGCAGCTCCTGCACACTATCCGACATGCCTCAATTATACAATTGTTTATTTGCTGTGAGGATTTCCAAAAACTTTTATCTTGGTTCTTTGTATAATTTACAAACTGCGGATCTATTATAACTGATTTCCTTGTTAGTTAATTCCCTGGCTTGTCCATAGTCGGTAAGACTAGGTCATTGTGGCTTTGTTGGTAGTGCTTCCCTAACCAATATTTGAGTTGTGTCTATGAGACGGTGCAATCGGGTCTGCGCTAATGATCGTAATGTCTTAACTTTTCCTGACCAGACTCTGGTGCTTCATTTCAAGGGCCCGCTATGTCTCTTTATCCTAGTACTAATTTTCGTCAGCGGCTTCGCCCACGTGGTCCCTAGGAAAATGTTTTTATCCCTCAAAAGTATCCTATCATCTAAGTCAGCTAATACCCTATCTTTAAACCAAATTTCATCAAAATCCGTTCAGTAGTAGTCAGACAAACATCCAAACAAAGAAACTTTCACATTTATAATATTAATAGGATCAGTTTGTCATTATTCACCTTTCTTAACTGACAGTGACATTAATTATACATTAATATTTAGGTAACATTTGTTTGGCTTTCAGAATTAATGCACTATCATACCATACATTTTTACCTTTCATAGCACGATATGTCACGACTTCAGTGACTCTGATGATGCCCACACATTCCGCCTGAAAGGCTATGTTGAGGATCCCCAGTGCAAACGCGATTTAAGTCTTCAGAGAACACTTCCGCAAATTGTTCCAGACTAGCGTCTTTACCGTGTAACAGCAAATCCCATTTGATCTGTCAAAATGAAGACCCGAATGATCTGTGATGTTGTCAAAATAACTCTAAGGACTTCTTTTTGTTTCACAACTGAGTATAATACAATTTGCAGTGTGATATATTTTATTTATATTAACTGCAAAATTTTACTAGGTTTGTAATTAAATAGACCTACTTATTAAAGGGACCTTTAGATGAGGAAGTGTTTTTTATTCGTTTTTATTATTCATACCTACACTGATCTTCAAAGTCTAACATAAAATTGCCTGTCACCGTTCTCATGGGATTATTAAGTTAAAAATACTTGAGTAGTCATTGTAATTTAAAAATCATTGTTGACTCATGCTTTAAGTGGGCACCTAGTATGGCTTTATATATTTATCACATAAACAATGTTTTGAAATATAAATAATTTATGACAGTTCAAAGTATTTAATTAAAGAAATGGTAAATAACGACGCCACGAGTGATGGTGTCACGCACCATGCTATGCTAATGCTAACCTGTACTCTCTATAGTGGAGGTCAATAATTTCCTTTGGCATTCATCATAAAACATCGTATAAACAATACGATCAATTCTAACGGTCGCCTTTTAATTTATATTTATTTTTAGCGCATTTCAAATGCCGCTTAGTGACTGAGTTCCATTTTCAACCCTCGCTTATTAAAATTTCATCGAGGGCTGTGTCTTCATGTCAGTGATGTGGAACGTGTCATTTATTTTAATTTTGTTTATAAAAGTAATAAATAACAAGCGTCTTTCGTTATACCGTAACAGTTACATGTAATTAACCTGTTTACCAAAGACTTTTAGTACACCGTGAAATGTTCAAGTGGGTGGTAAAAATGAAATCGCTCGGTGAATGACTGCTGGCGGATATTGAGAGCGGGCCGTTTGCCTTAAGGAGCACATATTTTTTGATTTCTTAGAAGGTTTGTGGGTTTGTACCTGACCGCCGGACGGTCCCGCGTGTTTCCCCAATTATAAGTGTTCAAGCGCGCTTATTCAGCACGAAAGCAAGAAATTATTGTCTGTATTCACTTCTCATGCCTCGTCCGCACAAGTTGCGATGTAGCTCTTGCAAATATATTTTTCCTAACGCTGTATCGAAATTCGAATGTTGCGATGTTTTTGCTAAACGCGTAAAGTAAACAATTTTCACGGTCAGTTTCTTTCTTTTTTGATGGCGAAATCTTAAGACATTCTATCTATTTTTACTTGAAAAACTAATCTGTTGAACATTTTTATGTTGTCAAGTAAATTGTAAGCGTATCATCCAGTTCATTCACAGAATAAATCCTACTTTGTTTCAGTCTCTATGTAAAGTTATCCTCTAGTGCTTCCTAACTTTAAATTGAACGTTATTAACGTTTATTTATATATAACGCAATATTTTAATGCTTTAGCATTAAAATATTGCGTAGAATACGTTATCCAATATTACCGATAAACGTACGAGGTTGATCTTTCGCTTTAATGGAACCTGAGGTTTATGAACTCGTCAATATCCCCGCCACCGCGATGGGGCATTTATTGAAAAAACCATAGTATAAAACTGTCCATTTTTATTCTAACCATGCAAAAGTTTACCTTGCTTAAGCTGGCGATAAAGTATTTTATTTATTACGATATTATATATACAGATTTTCTTAACCAATTTTATTAGTGTAGTAGTAGGTAGTTACCGATTATTCAACAGAATAATGAGTAATAAATGATTACATAATCTACTTTTAAAACGTCCACCTCTCCGTAGTGTTTAACAAAATGATAGGCTCAACTATAATATATATATAGGCTCAACCCTTATAATTTCTGAGATTTCAAAAAGTTTCCAAAGTTTAATAGATAAAATTTGATTATTTTGTCTTATCTTAATCATGTCAGTACATAAAACTAAGACAAACTGAACAAGAATAAAGAGTAATACCTAGGTGTTTATAGAATCTCAAATACAGTTTTAATGATAAGAAAATTACAATTACTTTTCCACATTGTTTAGTAATAATTACATAATGTAATATTTAAGAACTTCACAGCTGATTTCATAGTAAGGAGGCTTTTCGACTACC